GCAGACACACGCTGCCTTGTCCCCACCGAGGCACAGCCACAGGAGTCCTCCAGCCCTGGCTCTGCTGTAACCAGAGCTGCTCTTCTCCTTTCCAGGTGTCTCTTAAAAATGGTCAAGGAGACTATTGTAGTCCCTGAAGAGATCTTGACCTTCTGTTGCAATGGCCTCCAGGTACCCCCACTAACTAGTGCTGTGACACTAACCACAGGGCTCCCCGTTGTGCCGGCGGCTACTAACTGAGGCTGTGCCAGTGGGTACTAACCAGGGCTGTGCCGGTGACTACTAACCAGGGCTGCGACGGGCAGAGGCTGTGCCAGGAGCAATCCCAGCCCAGCGCCGGCTCCAGCTGCATCTCCCCATTCTTTCCCCATCTCCATCCCCAGTCTCTTGCTGGCCACCGTGGGGTCAGGGCTGTTCCCATGGGGTGCTGGATTTTTCCCTAAAATTTAGAAACACCAAGTGCCGCGAAAATGATGGTGAGGAGCTACGACCAGGCTGGCTGCTCGCTTTGCAGCCGGCGGCTTTGGAGTTCTTTGCATTGCTGGCTCGTGCCTCATTGCCTGCCACCTTCCCAAAATAGCTTGGCGGTTCTCATGTAGGCACCTTGGCATGCTGGAAAACAGCCCAGGAGGTTTGCAAAGGGGCTCGGAGCCTGCTGGAGGGGCTCTGGGGGTCTGTCTCTCCGTGGGATGGGGGGGCTTTGCCCCAGGCTTGGCTTAGCCGCCGTCTCTGCTAAGCTGAGCTTTGTGCTGTTCCTGGGATGTCATGCACCAGTAGCTATGGAAACAGAGGTTAGACCCGCTGAAGAAAAATGCTATTCCGAGAGGCGGTGAGCCCAGGGTAGTTGGGAAAGCCTCATCTTCAGCATAAACCTGCCTTTAAAAGAAGCCGGGCAAACCAAAGGGTGAAGAAGCTGCTGCAGCGGGGCTCTCGCAACAAGTGCTGTGAACGGGAGCCGCAGAAGGCGGAAGGAAGGGCTGTAACGGAGCCCAGACAGCTCCTCGTGTCTCCTCAATTACTCACCAGGCTAACCGAGTTCAACCCTTGTGTAACGCGGCTCACTTGACATCTCATCAGCTATTTTATTTTTTTTTTTGTCGGCACAGTCGCAATACCAGCCTCTGTCTTCCAACCCGCCTCTCACCGGGGCGGCAGGCAGAAGCAGCTCCGTGCCCAGCAAACTGCTGGGAGCCCATAAGGAACACATTTAACTGCACAAACAACCCCAAAGTGGGGATGCTTTCCCCCCCCTCTGCTTGCCCCAGCCAGGAAAAGCTGCTCTGGCTGTTGCCTTTGGCAAAGGGGGTGTTGGTGGAAGGTATGGAGCATCGCTGCATGCCCAGCCCTGAGTGCGAGCCCTGGGAGCACAAAACCACCCTAAAAATGAAGCTGCAGGGGGTGCAAAATTCCTTCCCAGAGAACTGGTGGGCTTTGGGAGAGGTTTTACACCGTTTTTGGGAGGAAGGAGCAGGGCTGGGTGAGAAATAGCCTGGAAACCTTCAGCGGTCACCCACTGAGCTCTTTTTCAAGGGATTATTTTCCTTCCAGCTGCAGGCATCGCATCTTTGGCAAGGGCTGGGTGGGTTTTGGGGCGCCTGGGGCTGTGCAGGGCTGGGGGTCCCACTGGCTCTGCATGGGGAGGGGGCTGCATGGGTTTCTCATGGGATTTCTCTCCCGTTTGGATAAATGGAGCTTTCATTCCCTGCAGGGCTCGACCTCTCTACCGCGTGGCCGGGAGCCAGGAGAGCGGGAGGAGGCTCCGGGGGCCATGGCAAACCCCTCGCCCGCCCGTAACCCCACCGAGGTGCAGATGAGCCAGCTGGTGCTGCCCTGCCACACCAACCACCGCGGCGAGCTCAGCACCGGCCAGCTGCTCAAATGGATCGACACGGCCGCCTGCCTCTCCGGTAAGCCGTCCTCTCCCACCGGAGCCATCATCCTGCTGGGTCAGGAGCGAGGGGACCTGGCGATGTCCCTGGCAGTGTGCCTGGTGGTCCAGCGCTGTCCCTCGGAGCTGACGCCAGCTGGGGACGTGCATTGTGCCATTTTGCTGAGTAATTAGAGAGCAAACAGGAGCAGGATGAGAGGGGGAGGAGACGTGTGCTGCAGCATGCACGCTTGCTCGGAGCAGAGCAAAATCAATGCCTGCTTCTTCCCAAATGCTGCCCTTTGCCTTGCCTGGAGCGCAGGGCACGGCGAGACCCGGCTGGTGACGTCTCCGACATCCCAGTGGTGGCCAGATGGGGCTGAGCTCACCTGGCCAAGTGCATGGTGGGTCACTGAGTGCAGGAAAAGGCAAACGGGTGCAAAATTGCAGTTTGATGAGGTACCCAGGGCGATTTTGCAGTTTGAGGCTCCTGGAGTCCCAAGGGAAAGCTGGAACAGCAAGACAGCTTTAAAATATTTGCTGCGTACGAGGAGATGGTATCGGCTGCCTGCGTATCAGCTGAGAGCATCGAGGGAAGGCAAACAGTGGGGCGGTGTGCCTCCTGGTTACAACACACCCTCCAAATCCTTAAACATCTCCAAACCCGCACTGCTATGGGATGGAGAAACCCCAAACCCTGCTCTCATCCCCTGCATGAGCAGGGAAAGGGACGCCAGATGGGTTTCACTGCTGTCACCAGCCCCAGGGCAGGGGAGCATGCATGCCCCTCGCCTGCTCAGCGTGTCACCGCAGGTACCTGATGCCGTTTGCTTTTCCTTTCCAGCCGAGAGACACGCCGGCTGCCCGTGCGTCACGGCTTCCATGGATGATATCTATTTTGAGCACACCATTAGGTAAATAGGTGGCTCTCCGGTGGGGCGTGCGCGAGGGAGGCTGAGGGGTTTTTCCTGGCTGCGAGGCGGACAGTGGGGCTGGAGCCAGGATAGGGAGCAGCGTGTTTGGGAGGGAGGAGATGTGGTGGCAGTGCCAGGCTTGTGGGCAGCCAGGGATTGAGGCTCCAGCTCCGCCGCAGGGCTGCGGACTGTCTGCTCTGATTTATCTGCTGCTGTCTGGTCGCCCAGGGAGCTCCTGCTGGGCTGGCTTCCCGGTATTTCCCCCAACCCCAGCTCCTCCCTGGCTTTGTTCAAGAAACAGCTCTGACTTAGCACACTGCAAAACTTAAATCTTGCAAATTGTGCCTCCGTAGCGGCTGTGTGGGTGGCTGGCGTGCAGCTGGGCTCACCCACAGGGGCTGGAGGGCACTGGAACCCCCCTGAGCATTGCTTTGTGAGATGCACCCCACTGAGCTTTGCCTGCCAAAAATTCCCTCCCACGCTTGTCCTCACGACCCCCTGGGTGCTGTCCCCACAGAGGTGCCCATCCCGATGCACACAGCCCCTGGGATGCCACATTGCAGGGGCCAATGTTTGTCCTGACCAGAGAGTGTTGGGGTACTGAGGGGGTGCACGCCCTCCCTTGCCCGCTGCAGGGTCCTGGTACCAAGAACATTCCCACATGCCCTCACCACCCCCAGTAAGCCCCAGTGCTGCCACCCACCTTTACCCATCTCCCCCCACCCCGTGCAGGGGAACACCCATCTGCTTTCCCCCTGGGTACCACCCCAGGGGCTTTGCGGGTGTTTTGGGGCAGGGTTTTGGCACACCCATGAAGGTGCCCACAGGGCCTGATGGCAGCGGTGCCACTGTGATGGCAGAACATTTTTGTCACCCCCCATTCCCTGGGGACCGGCTGGCCCAGCAAGCTGTGCCATATAGGATCCACGCTGCCAACAGGTCCCACTGGCGCAGGGACCAGCTGCGGGTGCCCAGGGCTGGCACTGGGGTCTCAGGCTGATTTGTTTGGTGCTGGGAAGTCCGACTTGCTCTTGGGTGTCACTGTCACCCCCAGCAAATGCTCAGTTCCCCCCTTCACCATCCCACATCATGGTGGTAAAGAGGACGAGCTGCCCATCGCCCTGTGCCAGAGCCACAGTGTGGGGATGTGGTGCACCCTGTGTGACACCAGCACTGGGGACGATGCCCTGCACTGAGTGGGTTCACTGGGTGCCATGCCCAGTGCCGTGTGGCTCCAGCTCCCAGGACAACTTCACCTGGGAAGCTTTTCCCTGTGAGTTTTGGGAGCGAGAGGAGGGAGTTGTGCCCCGCTCTGGAGCGTTACATCAATCCCTGCAAAGGCATCCACCGCTCCTCGGTGTGAGCTGGGCACCACTCCAAGGGGTCGGGGAATTTGTGCTGCTCCTGGCTCAGATCCCGCTTGCTCTGGTCCGGCTCAGTGCTCGGAGCGGGGGCCAGGCAGGGGTTTCACATGGAGCTGTGCGTGTGCAGAGGGAGCTTCGGGTGGCGTTTGCTGTCTGCTCTCCTCCTTGCCTGGCTGTTTGCGCTT